TTTAAATCGCTGGGGCCCACGGGTTAAGGAAGACATCGGAGACTAACGGGGCGGTCTGTCTCGAGATACACATTTTAGGGAGGATTCGATAGTAAGGGGCGGCATTATCAAGGACCACCCCCCGGTGTCACAAACTCTAGCTACAGCCCTGTTGGTTCCTGCAGCAAGCACAACGCCCCTTCACCAGCATCAGAAACTAACACGAAACCGACCAGGTAAACTGATGCCATAGGAAGTCATTAAACTGATTTTTTGTTATGCAGACCTAAGTGTAAATGTTGAATTAAACCCCGCCGACATACGAGATCATACAGAATCATCGTTTGAAAAAATAAAAATTAATTCAATTGATGAGTATCATCTCTTTGCTACCACCGCCAGTTTAGACAAAATATTTATTATTGTAAATCGGATAGGTTGTGATTAAGCATTCATGTATGTCATTTTTTGTTATAGTATAGCGGTGGCCCACCAAAAATCATTTCATTGGTTGCAAGCAAGGAACTTCTGGATTAGAAGAAAATGTAGGTTACACATTCGTCCACGTCTAATCAACTAATGGGGGCGCTTGGGGAGGCGGAAACAAATCTATTTTAAACATGTTTTTACTTAAGTTTTTTATTAGAAAGTCTGCGCGGGAAGGGGATTAACTTGGGGTCAATTAGTTATTTGTTTTATTATGGCACTGTGTCATTCGTTAACTTGGCCTCCATGAGATTTCATCCCCCCCGACTCCGTTGCACGGAGTCCTTAGAGTAATGGAGTTGTTTGAAAGTAGGGCAGTAAAACTGGGGCGCTCATGTCTTGCAGGCCAACAACGTGAGGCGCTCGAAAGTAAACAACAATCCATCAACATGTCGACGCGGTGCAAAAAGGTGGGTAGGGGGGGGGGATGTCACCAACACAAAGATAAAATCTTTAGATTATTAATCATTACGGACGTGTCATCCTAACCCTTGTCAATCCTGGCCATTGTCCTTTCAAACCCGTCATTTCAACCCATGTCACTGTTTTTGCAGTGCCTGTCATTCATGTCAGTTATTGCAGTGCCTGTCATTCATGTCAGTTATTGCAATGCCTGGCATTCGTGTCAGTTATTGCAATGCCTGTCATTCGTGTCAGTTATTGCAATGCCTGTCATTCGTGTCAGTTATTGCAATGCCTGTCATTCGTGTCAGTTATTGCAATGCCTGTCATTCGTGTCAGTTATTGCAATGCCTGTCATTCATGTCAGTTATTGCAATGCCTGTCATTCATGTCAGTTATGCTATTGCTGTCAGCGTGGCATTAAAACCCATCGCATTTAAATCGATGGCATTCCAGTCCCTAACCATATCATCGATGACATTTGGTAATTCTCAGCTATTTGACATTTTTTAAATGTCAACATTCTGTCACTAGAGTCCAGAGATAGTCTATTTACTGTAGGTGACCCTTTTAGATCAATCACTACGTAAGATTAATATGTTAAACAACTTGTATACCAATTAGCTTTGCGTGCCCTCGTGAGCTTTGTTTTAGGAAAAGGGTGCGGGGGCGGGGGGCGGGGGGGCGTGGTTAAGCCAATAATATTAAAGAAAATGTTTATGATGGCCCAATTAACAAATAATTCTGCAGTTTGATATTGACCAAATTATGTCTACAAATCACAACTGTTGCTTAGGATTTAGATCATTCTGTCAGTGGCATATCATTTTAAGGTGTATTGGAATGTACGCGTTCGTGTGCTGTTTAAAATTTTTAAATGTAAAAATGAAGTTTTGGTGAAGACGATTCGGATGCTGCACTTCCAAGTCAAATGGCAGAAAAGATTCATTCTGGTTATGAATGATGACAATGTTAATTTATTAAAAATTGAAATAAACATGGATTGGATATTCGAGGTAAAGAAGAGATGTTGTCTACTGTTAATGATAAAAAAAATATAGTTTTGTTGAATTTTAATTAAAGGGTGTGTGTATTCATAAATCTAAACCAGTGGTTTTCAACTTAAAACAAACAAAACATTAAAAATTCGTGACACAATGAAACAAAAAAAAAAACCTTCCACACCATATAAGTGAATATAAGTATTTAGAAAATTCCAGTGTGATGCTGAGAGGCATGTTATTATATAAAGTTAGAACGGATGGATAGTTAGAACAACAAACCAAATTATTTTTTGTTAAAAAACACTTTTAAAGCAGGGTTTTTTTTTAAATTGATTTGTATCTTGTGTATACAATCTATGTCATTTATTGTATTGTTTGTAAAACCTAAAAACATTTTGTTAAATATTAAATGAAAAAATTAAGTGAATATTGAGGTGTAGGCCTAGTTATTTGAATTGGAAGAAGTAGGATAAATAGTGACCATATAAACAACAACCATACAACCATTTATCTGACTTGGCTGAAGTCTGGCATAGTAACGGGTTGTTCAGAACCCCTCACAGGGTCGGCGCCGGTCTTATCGCCAAGGTTGAAGATCACTCAAACGATATTTCTCCACCGCCTATCTGCCACTTTCTACCTATCTGCATCTAGCTTGCTACTAACACAACTGGTATTCGGACTACCCATGCCCTCCCCGCGGCTACACGCACCCCAAGAAAAATGTAAAAACAGAAGGAAAGAAAAATCCCAGACTACTCGTCCGGAGATTTGACGTGGTCGAGCACAAGACGCAGATATTTCTGATAAATGTCAGCTCAATCACCACCTTCCACCCCCACACTCACTCGCGTTTCACAAAATAATAAGGTCAATTTTAAATTTATTAATTGTGAAAAACATTCTTCTTCTTATACATTTTCTTGGAATGTATTAAATTCTATAGAAGTTCTGCATGAATCATGCAGGGTCAATGTCATATAACTGAAACTCGAATATGAATAATGACCGCAAGCAAAGTTGAATTTAATAGAACTTGTACCCTATGGTCGCAAAAAATATACCGGTACTGTAAAGTAACTAGCTAGCACCCAATATTTTCCATGAGAATTCTAACCCATTTTGACAGCCCTGGTGTAAACGTTCAAGACGTAGCATTAGCTTTTGAAATCGCAAAGCATTTGGGTGGCTAATGGTCTGTATTTATTATAATTTCACGTCTCTTACCTTTACAATTGATTAATTGACTCCACTCTATTATGGAGACGCCACTTAACTGTATTTATCAATGAAGTGCGTTATTGCTCCCAAAGAATGCAAACTCCATAATATGCGCTTGCAGTAATTAACAAGTAGCATAGTCTCAGTGTAAGTATGCTAACAGTGCAACACATGCCAAGCCGTACATATGTTTGATGGTACACAACGCCTTCTCTCCCCTAGTTTGGTCATAACTAGCTCAGTGTTCAATGCATTCGTCATCGATCTCCCGGGTCCCCTTACAATCCGCGAATTCGATAATCAACTAAGATCGATGTTTATTTATGTTGCATCCCGAATCGATGAATTCGCTTAAAGATGGTATCGACTTTTATGCACCATCGCATTTTAATAATTCAAACGTTTATTTCGCGCCACATAACTTCATAGACGTTCATATCTTGGGCGTGTGCGATCAAAGTAAAACAAAGAAGACGGAAGGGCGGGCAATGGCAATAAGGTGCTCCACCCCTGGTGGCATTTTCGGCCCACAGCACATATACCGTGGACATATTACATACATACACTATATAGTCATAGGGTTTACGATCGAGGTGAATGCTCTGTTTTGTGTTTTAGAGGCAGCAATATCAAGGACCACAAACTCTAGATACACCTCTGGACTGGGGGTGGGGGAGAGAGAGAGAGAGAGATATCGTAAAACAGCTAAATCACGCACCACGCATCCAGCCATCAAAGAACGTTTCATCATTATGGGAAAACAATTACCGTGTCGTGATGGTCGGGATAATGAGAGCGGGGAGGGAAACCCGCCCATTTTTTTGCTAATGGTTTATCATACAGTCCGATAACTTGTTGTCTCAATAAGTTCCGCAGCAGTCATTACCGGTGCTATCCGAAAATCATTGTATTTTTTTTTTAACGCAGAGGCATGTGACAACGAACCCCCCATGTCAAAACTGAAGTAAATTTTCCTAAAAAAACGTGTGGATTTTTTGTTTTGTGGGAGAGAAAAAGGGGGAAGGGGTTTTAGAAGAAAGATGCCAAGAGTTTTTATGGAGTTTTCCATTTATTTGCGGCTAGTAAATCTCCAGAGAGTACGTTACACTTGACAGAGAACCCTTGAAAACATTTGCTTCGTTCATTTAAACGGCGTGAGGAGAAAGTGTGTTCTAAATATATTGTTCTAAATATAGGCCAAGACTTGCATACATAGTCCATAAGACATCTATTAGTTACTATTAGTTGTTTCAGTGGGGGATAGTTTAGGCCAAGAGGCGGAACAAGATGTGGGTGGTAGTGGGGTCACCAGTACACACGGCCACACCTAAAAAATAAGGGGGAGTGGAGGGGGGGGTATAGTTATACATGAATCCATAATTATATTTCTTAAAGACATTACTTTGTTGCTCTGATTTCCATTGCACCTTTTTTTATATGTTTCTCCTGTTCTAGCCACGTTGGGTGGATAGAGTTGGGGAATGATCACGGATTTCTTGATGGTCCTATTGCTAGTTCGTTAATATCGATATCGTCTCTCAATACCAGAAGTATTTAGTTTCTCCTGTAGATTGGTCACTATGAAATGAACTCGTTTCTAAAATACATTTAACTAACTGATGATTTTTTTTTAAAATATAGCAGTGTATTTAATAACCCCTCCGTATTGACAAGTTATTGTAGGAAGCTACATTCCAGAGGATTTTATCTCATGTAAACATGTACCTTAAGGCATAATTTAACACATGTCTTACTTACATGTCTGTAAAAACTGCCTAAAATTATTTGGGCCTACTAATTGCAACATAAATGTATAAATATTGACTATAAATTATGTATATACACTGTATACAAGAAAACATTTAAATTATTGATGTAGAGACTCTAAAAATTGCATTATATAGAAACAGATAAAAATCATTCCTTTTATGTTTAATTTGACCATAAACAATTCTGTTTATTGACCATGCCATATATAAAATATATTATTTATCTTAAAAATAGCAATGCAGTAAAACTCTATTAAATTTACAATTTAAAAATTTTTATGCACACATTTTCAAATGCCATATTCAGTCGATTTCACACACAATTATTTACAAATACAATCCACACTATCTAAAGTGTCCTAAATTTCACATGAATCAAATATGTGCAAATTGTATCATCTGAATATTTAAAGTTCCAGATTCTTGCACAGTATTTGAAAATTTACAGAAGAAAAATGAAACAAATTTGGTTAATTTGTGCAATAAATAATACATGCCTTTTGTTCTTTTTCATGTCTACTCATTCTAATGAATCTGCTTATAGAGATCCAATACACAGCTACATTACTTAATGGCTGCTGATATTTCCAAGTCTTTGAGGTAAGATTATTTTAGCCGTTGAGTTACAAACAATAAAGCATTTCAACATTTATTTTTTAATAATTGTAATAACATAGTCCGTATTCATGCAACCTCCTGCTAAAATTGCAGTCCCTTTTTTAAAAAGAATTTTTTAATGGTCTGGAATATTAAGTGGCTTTCTCTTATCAGTCTATTCACACTTTAAAATATTATATATAGATAATTTATGTTAAATATTTACACATTAATTTTCACCAAACATAATTTGAAAACAGTGAAATGTAGAATATAGATTAAATACTTAGTAGAAAAGTGACAATAAAACACTCAGGACAATGTACAAAGTGCAATCACATCTCTTCTTTAGAAGGCAAGTGCTGAAGTTTAGAAGGCTAAGATACCCTCCAATCCACACACACACACACAAAACATGCTGTCATATCAAATATGTATATTTCCCGAAGTTATTTTATGATTCCTCATTAAAAACACAAGTCAAATAAAACAACAAGACCACATAAATTTAGAAGTTCTCTATAATTCTTGTATTATTGAATCATTATCACTTGAATTAGGGTGTAGCAAAGTTAGGTTGTAAGATAGGGGGAGTGGGCACTAGATGTGTTTTTTGTATAACTATAATATTATTTCTTTCTAACCTATCCACAGATTTATCACTATCACCCAATAAGATAAATTATTGTTCCAATTTTAGTTAAATGGATTTTAAAAATAGTTTCAATTTCAATACAGCGGTGTGCAGTAGGTCAAGAATGTAACATAGGAACAGTAAGTTTAAACTAATGAAATATTATCTAGAGATGTGAAACCAGATAACAGTCTACTACATGATTAACATTATTTACCTTAGGGTAGACTGACTTATTAGAGTTCACTGAAAAAATGATTCACTGTTCCTTATTTAGGACAAATGAATATCAAGTAAAAACAGGGTTTTTAACTTGGTATGCAGTGGACCCTCAATATTCACCATTAATCTGTTCTGGAGGGGAGGACAAATATCAAAAAGGACATGTATATTTTTTATTTTCATAATTTTACTTATGAATTGACAAAAAAAGTTTTAATCTGTTACCATCCCTCAATTTAACCTATCCATTCTTAATACTAAAAAAAATTCACTTGAAAATCTATCCCTGTCCCAGAAATCATCAGTAATACATTTTAATTACGTATTTACCACTAGTCATTAATGGTTACCAGAAATTTGATCGAAAGAAATTTCGTTAACGGTAAATTGGTTGACAGAAATTTGATAGAACGGAAATTTGGTAGAATCTTTTTTCAGTTCACACGTTAAAATTTTCGCCAAATTTCTTTTTAAATGCACTATACTATATAGTAAAACAAAATAATGCGTTCAAAAATAAATTTGAAGCAAAATTTTAACGTAAAAAAATGAAAAAAAGATTTCACCAAATTTCCCTTCGATCAAATTACCGTCAATCAATTTACTGTCGACGAAATTTCTTTCGATCACATTTCCAGATAATGTTATTAATGCTCTATTGTTATTATTTACTCCTCATAATATAAACATGTTAATACAATTTTAAACAGAATTTTACCTACATTGTAGACACCGCTACCCCCTCCGGCTTCCCAAACTACTAAAGCAAACAAACATAGACATAAGTAGTAAATGTTATGACACTAAACAAGGGACATAACTCTAAATTTAAACCCCAAAAAATCCAATTAGATACAAAAAACAAAAAAAACTCTGGTTAAAAAACACCATGGTCACATGGGCACCACAGTCATAAGAAATCCACAGTCACACGAACACCATGGTCACATGAAGTGAACACAGCTGTCACATGAAGACCACTGTCATATGAACACCATAGTCACATGAACACCATTGTTACATATTAGTTTTTAAAATTGATACAAAAGCTCATAAATATAAAAAAAATTATAAAGTTGTACTTTGTATCATCGCTGACACTGATTGACTCACGGGGTAGGTGAGACAAATATCAAATTTTTTGGCAAATATTTAACAAAAATTTCTAAGAAAAACAGGAGGAATATAAAAAAGACAAATATTGATATGGACAAATATTGAGGGTCCACTTTATATTCTGATCAAAGCTAAATAAGTAACTAATGCCTCAAACCTTGAGGGGCAGAAATATAAATTGTTAAAAGTTATCACTGATCTCAGACAACCATCATATTTTTTTAATGTAACAAGTAAAAGAAACATAACACAACAATAATCAGTGAAACTGAGCTGGAATGCTCTGTGGAACAATGTATAACCAAACTGTATCCAAACCTTCACCTTGAACCAACACTGGCTTCCATGAAGGCAAGGGAAAACGGCAGGCAACTATTCGGGCATCGGGCAGCATTTCCTTTGCCAGCTTTTCTTGCAATGGTTTCATCTGTGAAAGGACACATTTAATTCTTTAATTAAATTTCATCTCAAAGACTAAGAGTATGGTTTGTTGTTTTTTTAAATTTTAAAGTAAGTTTTTCCCTGGGAACACTTGTACAAATATGAGAGTAGACACAACTTGGGATCTGGAAAGATTTCATTCTTTCTGTCTACTTTAAAACTTTCTTCAAAAAATAGGATGTGGAAAGGTTTTATTATATAATAAATACAATTATTTATTTGTAAAATTAAGTCTTGGTACTTCCAGTAGTAATATTTTTTATCAGATGAATTAAAACATTTTATTATGTTGAAAGACATTTTGCATCAAGCTGGCGACAGAGTTGATACAAAAATCAGCAAGAAAATTTTGATCTGGTTATATCCCATTTTAAGTCTGTTTAGCTCATACATGGGAAGGACTATTAAGCTCATCTTTTACCAGAAATTGTACAATTTATAGTTTGTTAATTGTTTCAGTCATAAATCATACTACTAATAACTAAATGCCCTGGTTACATAAACCAGTATCCTGGTGAAATATAGCATAACTACAATCATTGCTGTTACCAGAAACATTTTCTTTATTGTTTCTTAAATTTTCTTTGATTGACACCATCTCACATTCAATCATCATTACATTTAATTGAATGTCCCTAATAATGCAAGAGAAGGGTTAGTGATAAAGTGATCAATTTTTCTCAATATTAACCCTCGAACTGTGGTCGGCCGACAAAATTGGCCAATATTCTCGTTCTGTGCTGTGGCAGCTGAAAAAATCTGCCAATAAAAAACACGGCCCGATAGCAACTTCCAATCCAATATTTAACCGAAATCATAGCCACTTCTTTTTATTAATAATTAAATCAAATTCCGGGTCAAGCTGTTTCTTGATAACTTAACAATAAGTACTTTTTAATTGGAATTTTATATCGCTGTTTTTTTTAAAGCTAAAATGGCGGAAGCCATGGTCGGGCCTACAGTACGAGAACTAATATAAATATTTGTGAAAGCTTTTTTAGGAGAGGATTTAAGTGATACTGATGGGGATTTTAACATTCCCCATGACATCTCATTTCAGATTCTTCTTTTCCTGAATCTGATACTAGTCTTAGTGATACTGAAGTAGGCCTACTGAGGCAACTGTTTGACTTCGAGCCTGGTCCGGAGGTTGGGCAAGGACTGACTGAATTTTAGTCACAGAAGCTACAGATTATAGATCAGTTCCACAGTTCCTTTTTAAATTTTTACTAGTCAATAATAGCTATTTTGCCTGAGATTTTGTATTTTGTACTTGGTTTTAGCTGTGGTCCCAGTTTCTAATATAATGACCTAAAATTACTAAAATTGCTTTCAGAGGTTTAATTGTAATCAAAACCTTAGCAAACTATACATTTTCTGAAAGATAAATAAATTGGCTACAACACTTAGATTTATGTTTTAAGTGTATCTATAAAGTTAATGATGTTATGAGCACTTGAAAGCAAGACATTTTGTCGATTTTTATTTTCTTGAGCACTCCAAGGTCACGGATAATGAGCAAAAAAATTTGTACGGGGTGGGCAATATAGCCAGCTTTATCTCCATTCATTTATCTTTCTAAAAATAAATAATCATTGGGGTCTTGAATAAATATTTCTATGTCATTTAATGCAATTTCAAAAGTCACTCAAAAAGCTCAGAAAAGCTACACACCACAGAATGATGCATACCACAGTTCGAGGGTTAAAATGATTTCTAAGTTACAACTTACCATTGACTCCACACCAAAGATAACCACATTTTGATATATGGATAGGTCAGTCTAGTCATGAAAGAAAAAATTAACAAATGCAATTTACAAATTGTAAAAGAATGACGTAAATACAACAAATATTTTTAAAAATTAGATAATGACATCAATTCATTCATTATAAAATTTTAAAGAGCAGTGCTTTTTTTATTATTTTTTTATTTCAATATGTTTTTTAACAAACAAAAGTGGGTGGCAGTGGAAGAGCAATAGCAGTGCTTTGGGGGGATGGGGTGGCTAATTATATTTTAACTTCAAAGATTATTGCAATACATTTTTTGACTGTATTTAAATTAATGTCAAATACTTTTGATTATTTCCTATCCATGATGTTTTTTACCTAAAAAATATTCTGAGATACAAAGCCTCAATAAATAAACTACACTTCTGCAGTCACACACCAAAGATGATAGTTTATATTTAAAATCAGGAAAGTCAACTAACAGGTATTTGATATGCAACTTGCTACTTAGTGGTCTCCCTTAGTTAGACAAATTCAGTTAAAATTTGAAATAAATCTTTACATTTGCTGCTGAGGGATCATCATTAGATGATTATCATACATTAAAGGGAGAGAGGTTTCACAAATATGTTACAATATGTTTTGGTGTGTCTAAATTTTGTGACAAATTGTGAAAATGGGGAGAGAGAGAGAGGGGTAAAAAATTGTGTGATGTCATTTATGAAGCGCCCCTGAACATTCAAAATGTCCAGTCTCCTGAGAACTTGGCTTTTGTGGAATAAAAAGAAAATTACTTGTAGTGTTTTTAATCGTCCTTATTTGCTCTTTATTCTTTATAAATAACTATGTTCACCTTCCATAAGTCCTTATGGAAAAATGTTACTTTTTTCTGTAAACCATTCCTCCAGGCCGTCCAGCGTGAATACAGCACCAACCATAAATTGAGTTCTACACCATAAGCTTGGAATCCATTGCGAGCAGCTATAAGGGTCTGTGATATAGATTAGTGATGTCATTATTTAATACTGTAAGGCTTTTGGCACATGCCTACATTTACTTTACAAAGACTAAATAAACACAAAAGATGTATCAAGCATATATAGTAATACACAATATGCTTCGTATTTCCAATTTATGAAAATTTTTAGTATTTTCAAGTAGCATGTATGTATTGAATTATCTTCTGCAATATAATATTTAAAGCAATTATATTGTAAGTAATAACTTGTCAACTGATTTTATGGTGTCTTTCTTTTTACAGTTTAAAATGCAACTATTTTTTTTTATTTGTTTAAATGTGAAAGTTATCAAATCTAAATATATTGTATTATACTCACTATTCGTCCATCTCCACTGCCTATATCAATCAATGTACCTGATCGACCTGACAATGCTTTCATGACATTTCCTATTTGATGAGACGAAGCTGGAATGTAGGGCAAAGCAAATCTGCGAAGTCCAGGAAACACAAATGGTGCCATTAGGGCACTAACACCAGTAAATACAGCAGCAGAAATACCAAGCATAATCTTGCCTTTATTACTTAGCTTAGGGGGTTTGGAACTTTTTCCCATTTCTGAAATTTCTTTGCAGAATTCACAGTCTTGAACTGCAGTCATAGAAGGCTCCATACTATTCAATCAATGTGTTTTTGCACTTCAGATCCTGGAAAATTCAATCTGAAAGGACATCAGACCTGAAAAATATGAATAAAAAAAAAATTATTTATTATATTCAATTGATATATTAAAAGGGATATTAAATATTTTCTCATTAATTTATTTTATTTGGGATGTGGGATGTGAATTATTACAATTTATGACCTAATATTAATAGTCTTTATGATCAGTAAGCTTCATCATTTATGATTTTTTGACAACAAGAATAAAATCATTCAAAACAAAATTGTTCTCGTTTGATTTTGTATTAAAGATTCATTATAACAATGTTGTAACATCCTTTAAAATTTTCTATTTGTGCTGAACAATTACTCAGTGGTCTTTTGGTTTAAAGGCATCAAAAATGTGGGCTTCTTCACCAGTCATGCTGTATTAAATAACTGAATGCTTTTGTTGAACAATTTTAATATTTGTATATAAATTTTAATAATAATAAATTAAACATTTAATTAAAGTAAAAGACTTTTTAAATAATATTTTCAATGCACATTCAGTGATGTATTTTAGAGAATTTAACTGGCAAAATATGTAACCTATTAATATAATTTAAGGGGACCATTATTTTCAAATTTAAAAGCAGTGAAATTAAAATCGTTTTTTGGGATCATGGGAACCAAAAACAAATAATTATTTTGGTTACGCATAGAACTTTTCTAAAAGTTAGAAATTCTTTTGTTATATTTAGTAAATTATGCCTGGATATCTGATGGCCAACTGAGATGTACCAGAGACACAAGAGACCTATTAATACTAGACTTACACATCATCCCCAGTGTGTGTGGATTAATATTTTTATTATATGTATTTGTATGCTGTAAGTTAAGAGAGTTTTTATTCCCATAGTTATATTTCGATTTGTACTTTATTTCAGAATGGTAAGATACATAAATAATCATTAGCATTTGTTAGGGCATTGTTCTTTTTAGTAGGGTTAGCATATTAAAATTTAAATTAAATTAATATTAATGGGTATTTGGTCAATTTACACAATCCTTTGAGTTTCTGTGTAGTATGCACTCCCTTTTGTTTATTCTTGGATTATTACTAGAGTTAACTTTAATTTTTTTAAATATTAATAATAATAAGCCGCTGGAATGTTTCAAATTGAAATGCCATTGGTTGCTTAATTATAATATTTAAATTCTCCGCAGTTTTGGAAAATGGCTATAGTATTGTTATTGATTTTCTGACAACTTTTGGATTTTCTTTTTGGTGGAAAATTAAATAATGTGTGTAAAAGAGTATACTATGAAACTGTAAGTTGGGTTTTATTATTTTACTATTATTTTGTATAGTTTTTCTTCATTTTTACAGTTTTCTTACCACAGTGTTTAGTTGTAGCCACACACGTGTTTTAGTTGAGGGAAATGAGCATATACCGGCTGAAATTACAGCAGGGAAGGAGGTGACTGTAGGTCATTGAGACTTCTTGCTGAATATCTAGAGGGATACAATAAATTAGCTTCACTCGCCACAAAATTTATGTACCAGCTGAAATTATTTAATTAATTTTTAATGTTTTTTTCCTATTTTAGTTTCTCTTGGTAAATAGCTAAACCAGCACATTCTCTCCCTTTCCCCTCCCAATTTTAGCAGACGTGTTTCTTTCACGGCCGTCACATTGGTCATGGCCGACATGGGAAATGTCATGGCGCAGATTGCGTAAATTTACAAATTTCTGTACTGTTAGAGCCATTTTAAAACAATAGTTTTGAATAGTAGTGAGATCATATAGTAACTAGATTAAATTTAGGCTGCGGCTATTCCGTCGGAGGTCATTTATGGTAGTTTATTTTAGTTAAACTGGAGAATTAAGTGTACAAACATATAGTCCATTCTATTATCTTTCGTTCGAAACAAAATTTTACTTTGCTAACAGGTGTGTCTCATTGCTCTCTTCTTTGAACCACATTCTTCGTGCTGCTATTTGTGCCCGTTCTTGTCCCCCTTTCTTTGCAAACATGGCCACCGCTTTACATGTATTTCATGGAAACAACGCTTCATTCATTGTTATACCGATTCCTTCATCAGGTAACTGTTTGTTTCTATCGGTCACATATTTCTGGAAAAAGATCATTGATGAAACTGTTGCTCTTCAACTTCGCAACATGGCGGTAAACTTTGTTTCACAACAATGGGATTACTTCGGTACAAACTGTCCTTATTCCCCAGATTTCCCTCACACCATCAGATTCAAATTTACCTTTTAATTTTAGTTTTACATGGTGACAATTTCCTCTTTGATTAGCCTTTGCAATGACAATTAATAATAAGGCACAGGGACAAACTTTCAAAAATATATGCCTCTATCTACCAAATCCGGTCTTCAGTCACGGACAGTTGTATGTAGCTCTCTCCAGAGTTCCATTTTTTCACGAAATCACAGTTATTGAGTTGTATCCTCAAACCCACCCCATTTGGACAACTGTGACTGTGTCTTTCACGAAGTCTTCACTCATCTAATCTATGAGTGAGCAATTCTGCGACGAATGCTACTCCGCGGGTCGGCTAGTTAATTCTATTTAAATAATAGTTGTTTTTTAAATAATACCATGCCATACACGTCAAATTGTTTCCTCTTGATCAGAGGTCGTCATCAAAGTTTCCACTTGATAAATAATTAAGATTCCTAAGTAGTATGCCCTTGGACACCGTTATGTTACTTTGTCTTATGCCTCGTATTGCGTCTGCTCCGATAAATAATTGAATCAGTTTATTAGAGTTAATGTCCATGAATATTTAAAATGTTATTTTATGAGAATTATTTTACGAATTAATACTTTTTACTATTCTCACATTCGAAATAAGCTACAAAATAATTTTGGTTATAAGTATAAATTTTAAAAAAAAAATTTTTTATAAAAAACTATAGTCTCAATAGGAAATTAAATTATTGCTAGGGGTGGTATTTAAAATGCGGCAGTGGCGACGTGGTCAACGTCGTGGAGTTGCGTTGCGTGTGGGAGGGGAGCGAAGGGAAAGTCGACCACAGGACCAAAGCTACTAAAAATGAGGGGAGTTAAAGGGGGAGGTGAAATACAACAGACTCTAAAATGGGGCTTTCAAAGTTATTGCACACGTTATTTTTATTATATTTTTGTTAAATTTAGTCTACATTCACATAACTTAAATTCTCATGAAACATGGCATATTTTAATGTGCAGCAACTTCTTTTATTGGCGTTATAGTTAGAGGCTTCAAAAAGAGCACTGTAGCCTAAATACAGTATTGAGAGCAAAACATTTCACGATTGAACGGTTTTTTGCTAATTTGATTTTCTTTTTGTGCACACACAAAAGATACAAATAATTGAAAAGTAACATTGAAACCTTCGGCAAGTTGAAACGTATTACTAAAATTTAAAACGAGAAATTTTCTAATGGAAAGTTCGAATAAATTGAACTACAGGTAATAAATATTGTTTGAAGATAAAGTATTAATTCAGGAAACAAATATGCAGAAAAACTTATTAAGCATAGATTAAAAGTAGCCTTCTCGGAATTAAACGTTTCAGTACACATTTCTTAAATTAAAAGATGTCAACCGTTTTCAGGGGTGTACCAATCACGTGAGTGTCGAAGGCCACCTGATACTTTTCGGTTTGATACCCTCTGCATTCAATTCAATTTTTTTCCATAGCACAACTTTGGGCCCCTTAAATATTCAAGACCCCCTGCAGCCGCATAATTTGCATGGTCCATGTGACCGTAAACTTTTCCTTAGATGGAAATCATCAAAGGTAGTGTTTTGTGAGCTGGGAAAATAGAATAAAATGTACAGTGTCGGCTAACTGGGTAAGCGACGAAACGATCAAAACAATGTGAAACAAAAATATTTTATATTTCTTATTCACAATATTAAACGGTTTTCATTGGGGTTTTTTTGTATTTTTCTTTTTATTTAGTGTTATTCTTTTTATTGGCTACTGACAAAAGAAGCGGTTTTTTACTGGCCCAACCACGAAATCTGCATAGTGCGCCATAGCAAGGACCATGCGAAAATAAAGGGACGGTGTCTAATAGGTTCTCATCCCAGGTGATAGCCCCAGTAAGGTGCCAGAATCGTAAATTATCATAAATTATAGTTAATAGGTCTATATCCCTAATGTGGGAAGGACGGAGGTGGTCCGCTCCACGGGCTGGCTCCTTTGAAAAAAATATATAAAAGTGAACGTGAATTGACATTTCCGGTCAAAAGCAAAGAAAAGCTAATTAATGAGATGTTAAGTATAATTTAATGGTGGGAAAATATTAAATTCAGGTGTGGGCCTAAATGCATTGATGAATTTTGAATTTATATTTTTTAAAATCCAGAGTTTTCTTATGGAAGAAGGGTGTATAAAACCTCGGACGGCCCCATGCGCAGAGCCGAAATATGACTTCCGGAGGCACCCAGGCATTCTACATTTTGAGCCCCCCCCCCCCTGAAAGTGGATCTTTATGTCATATCAGCAGTGGCGCAGCAAGGGTTGCCACGAGAAGAAGGGTTGATAAAGCCTCGGACGGCCCCATGCGCAGAGCCGAAATATGACTTCCGGAGGCACCCAGGCATTCTACATTTTGAGCCCCCCCCCCCTGAAAGTGTATCTTTATGTCATATCAGCAGTGGCGCAGCAAGGGTTGCCACGAGGGGTGGGTTAAGCTTTTCGCCGCCTCCCTTCAAAGAAAAAATCTCGGCAGTTGACCAAAAAAAATATGCCCCTCACTATAAAGAAAATAGTTACACACGGGGCTGATCACCCCGCTCCTCACCCCTTCCCACGCCACAGTTTCCATAACACACAGAGTCGTTCCCCTTCCGACGCCACAGCTTCCATAACACACAGAGTCGTTCCCCTTCCTACGCCACAGCTTCCATAACACACAGAGTCTTTCCCCTTCCTACGTCACAGCTTCCTTCAAAATTTGATAGCTGTATAACCTAAACAGTATACATTTGAGCGCTAATGTGTACCTTTCTATAGTATATTGCTTAGAAATTTGGCTTAATTGACCACAATTAGGTTAAATCGACAAAACATCCATTGACAGACGATTTTTTTTTTTATAAATGAAATTTAAGTTTGATAGAATAATGATTTTAAAAAATGACTTCTTCGTGTAATTGTATCATTGGAGTTTTACCCAGTAACGTCATTTCATTCAGTAACAATTGTTTGCCTCCTTGAAAAAAATTAGTAAGAATCCGAGTCACATTTTTATCAATGTATTTTTATAACGTGCAAAGAACCCTGGTGTGATAGAGTGCTGCAGTTAACGACATCACGTACTAGTTAAGTTATAAATTATAATTTATAAAGCAGTGAAAACAAAACATGTATAATTCACCATTGCCAGCATACATTTTTTTTTCGGAATTTTTATATCTATTTAAGTTGCCATTTATTTCTTTATTTCATATCTTTTAAAAAATTGAATATTTTACATAGTAGTATCCAAATTGTTAAAATATTAAAATTAACTATTCACTAAATGCTAACGAAAGTTACACCCC